CCGTCTAGGCTTATGCCTCACCTGGGCTTGAGGTAGCTGAGTGCTTCTGAGAACTGGTTGGTGAGGAAGAGGTCCAGGGCGGTCATGCACTGGTCCAGGGCCTCATGGAGGTTGCTCACAGGAGTCCTGAGAGGAGAGACAGTGGGCATAATCTGGGAGTTCTGGTTGGAAAGAGGCTCACGGGGCCCAGTCAACCTCCCTGGGCCTCGGATCCCAGCACAAGCAACACTAGGCTGCCCACTCTGTACTGGGACACAGGAATAACTGGAACTCATTCAAGTGTTCCCAGCACTGGAAGAAGCAGAAGTAGCGTGTCATCTGAGATCTGGTGGAGAGTGACCAAGGGAGGCAAGGAAGCCTCTGGAATAAATTTGTCTTACCCTGCACATGGGTAAAGGGAGTCTTTGTGGCCCTTCTGACCCATTGGGCTTTGCTGCCCCCCCCCACCGGGGGGCACAGCCCACCCACTAAATCCCACTTCAGTTCCTCTCTTCCTTCTCCTTCTCTAGGCCTTATTCCGCCCCCCCCCCCAGGGTGCACTCTAGAACCCCAGGCACTGTCACAATGGGTTGTCACCCTTCAGCATCCCTGACACCCTGACAGTCCTCATGTTTCCCTATGGTGCGCTCCACCTTCGGACATGCTTTCTTTCCTGGGAGAAATCTTTTTGTTCACTGCTGTACCAGCATCTAGTATTTGGTACAAAGTGAGCTGCTTTCTAATAGGGAAGGAGGAAAGGAGGGAAGGAAGGAAGGAGAGAGAGGGAGGGAGGGAGGGAAAGAGGTGCTGGAAGGAGGATGGAACTAGGCTAAAAGATCAAATCCCTGACCTTTGTGGTCTCAGTTTCCCCATATGACAAATGAGATGAAACCAGGAGATTCCAAGAGTCCTATCTGATGGTCTTGAGAATGTTGATTCTCAAAGGGTCTCTTTTGAGTAAAAATTCAAAAATGGGCCTCTGTGATCCCACTGAATTCCCCCACAGGTTAGTAAAGAGAAGTTCCTTTCTACCAGGTAAACTCTATACATCCCTCAGGGACAAGCTCTCCTCTGTGAACTACCCAGTCTTCCCAGGAAAACTGCATCTTTTTCAAAAGGAACTTTGTTGATTCTCACACTTCCATTCTCCACCACCCACTGCCATCTTAAAAAATGATGCTCCTCTGCCTAACTTCTCAAACATGCTTGCCACACTGATCTCCTTAGCCTGTGTCTTACTGGGCCACTAAGCCCTGTCAATCCTAAGTATCTTGGTGCCTTCCAATCCAGTCCACTCTCTTCTTTACCCAGGTCCCCTACCCCGCTCTAATTTCATGTTGCTACATGCTTCTTTGCCATTTTTTGACTGTGAGATCTGAGTAATTTCCTTATTATTTTATATTATCTCTAATCCACACCTCAACATTCTAGCTCTCAGGAAAACTAATTCTGCTACATCTTGTTTCTTTTACCATTCACAGTGCTTGTAGTACTTTTTAGGTTAGTATTTCCAGTATCATGAGGATAATGTGTACCCAAACCCAAGATTTGTGCCCCCACTTTTTTGTCCCTACCAGAAGTGGTACCTCCTTTTATGGGTGGTCAGATTTTGTTTTGATCAATGCCCCTCTTTACTGAGGGTGTAGCCCTTTGCAGTTTCCAGATTCATGAGGTGTGGGGGGGGGGGCTCACACCGCTCACACTGTTGCTGCATAAGTCCCAGTCAACCAAGATTCTGAGTTTCTGGAATTTGCAAATACCCCCAAGGTGGTTGGGGCTTCATTTGCTTGCTTGCCTGCTTAATTACAGCTGCTTCTTTATTCTTGGCTTGAGAAGCTTCTGTTATGCCCATGCACATTCAAATATAGGTCAAGAAATGTTCATAGTAATCCATCTGGCCTCAACGTAGCTTTTATAAGGAGATTGTTGGAAGCATTGTTCACTCTAATTCAAACCTCTCATAATAGCTAAAGTTTTCTGTTTAAAGATTTATGTTTTATTTATTTATGCATACAAGAGCTGGAGTAGGCCAGAGGGGGAGAGGGGTGGTGCTAAGAGGATTTACCAGAGACAGAGTGGGGAGCAGGACAGGTGGATTGATTGAAACACTCCTAAAGGGAGCAGTGGCTAAGATAGGTGAGGTCTGCTGGTGGGTGGGTCACCTCCCTGGCTGGAGATCTAACTTGTGCTTCAATGGCTGCTTGAAAGCTTCATAGTACTGAAACTTAACCCCTTGTGCCACTGGGGAGTTCCTAAAGTTTTCTTTTTAAAACCCAAGTCTGATTGTGTCACTTTTGAACTTGAAATCCTTCCGTGGGTCCCATTACTCTTTAGATAAAACCCATGCCCCTTTCCACGATGAAAAGGCCTCCCTGGACGCCATGCTGGCCTCTGTCTTCATGACATGCAGACAGGGCCTTTCTTTGTGCACAAGGTTGAGCTTAACAACTGGTTTTCAGTTCAGTCATGCCTGTTGGATGAATCCATGAAGAGCCCATGAGCTCTAACCTACTGCCTGGGCATCTAGCTGGCCTTCTTCCCTTGAACTCTCACATAACCCTGTGTAGTGGGGTTACTACCCTTGCCATCCAAGATGGGGAGACTGAAATACAGAGGTGACCTGGCCAAGGTCACATGCCCAAGTGTGGATTCTAATCCTAGTTTTTGCCCAAGCCAGTGCCCACCAATTTGGCCCCAAGGAGTCAAACCCATTGCCCTGCCTTGTATCCATTTTAAAATGACTGCAGGACTGAAAGCCTATATCCCATTTCTGTGATCACCCCACCCCCACCAAGGAAGAGACGCTCTGCTCAATGCACCTTGAGATAAAGATGCACAGAGAGCTCAGGGACACATCCTCCCTTCCCATCCTCTCTACTGCTTGTGTGAGTGTGATTGAGATGGGACTGATTTCCTCTCTTCTCCCCTCCCACAAAGACTCACTAATCTCCAGCTCTGGGCAGGCTGGGGGCTGGGGATATAGCCTTGACCTAGACCTGGGTCTGGGCCAGACAGTGAGCTGCTCACAGGAGTAGTCCACACGTGTCTACAGGAGCTACAAATGCAGGAAGAGTTGGCAACAGTCAGAGAGCCATCGAGGCTTCTATCAGGACCACTGGGGATGCCCAGAAGTGGAGACAGGGTATGCTTCTGGAGAAGACGGCACTGAATTAAGGACAAGAATTGCAAGGAGAAGAAAGAATTGGGAGCAAAGGATGCCTCCCTGTGGGGGGTGGGTCTGCAAAGTGCAGGGGAAGACAGAGGATGGGGGGTGTTGGGGATATTGGCTCCACTTGACTTAATAACAGCATTAACCACCACCCCATCACCACTCAAGTTATCTAAATGATGACTGCATTATTTCAATCAATCCTCCCACCAGTCCCAGGAGGCAGGTGCTGTTATCTGCACTTGACAGATAAAGAAGTGAAGACAGGAACTAGTCTCCTCCTCCCAGAAGCCTGGGAGAAGACACAGATGCTTTCAGCAAGAGCAACTGCACTGATCCTTACTCCCCACCCCCAAGGTATGAAGGGTCTCCATCACAGCCTGCATTTTCAGCAGGATTCAAGGCCATTCTGCTCTAGGTCACCTTACCCAGGCCACATATATTTCTAAGCTCCTAGAGGTGATGATGGTCTTGGGGAAATGGAGGGGGAGGGGACAGTGAGTTGTATCTAGTATGAAGCACTTTTCAAGGTCAGGAGCTTAGGCATATGGGAGTGGGCCTGAGGAGGGAGGGGTGTCAGGCTCCCTGGAAGTCTCTACTTTAGTACCTGATGAACAGAGCTGGATGGAACTAGGGGACCATAAATCTCCATCCACTGAGAAAAGCCAGTCTGACTCCTGTCAAGGAGAGGTGGGTATGATGTAGGAAAGTTGGGGCAAAGAAGTCACTTGTGGCGCAGGCAGGAATAACTGCCTTTTAATCCCGGCTCCATCACTCAGTGGGAACTTCAGAGGAAAAGGCTCTGCCCATAGCAATCTGTTGCTTCCAAAGTGACTCTCCTAAATTGCAAATATGATGCCTCCTTAGTTGTACATAAGGTATCTGGTGACATGGCCTTCAAGAGTGGTGAAAGCTGACAACCCTGGACTCCAGCAGCAGCTCAGCAATGGCTTGCTGGAGAATCTAACTTCTATGAGCTTCAGTTTCCTCTTCCATGAAATGGAAATCAAAGTACTTTCACCCACAGTTGTAAAGAATGGCAAAGAGTATAAAACACAGAGGAAGTACTCAGAATTTTTTCCTGCGTTTCCATCGTTTCTTTTATCAAGCAGCACTGCTTTTATAGTGAAACTAAATAACTTTAAAAGGGCAGAAGCAGCTGTGTGACCTCAAAAGAGAATGGGACCTGGAGGGTGAGCAGGGAGGCAGTATGGTTCAGCACAAAGACCCACCAGTGCTGGAAGATGGAGCTTTCTATACTGGAGGTTCACAGAAAGGCTAGAGGAGCCCAGGGGGCGAGAGGGGATTCGGGGATGTGTGCAACAAAGAAGAGGGATGAACGGGAGCCTGTGAGTTCCAGCCTGGGGGTTCAGGATTTTTTGGTAAGTGCCTGTCTGCTCTCCTGGGCCCCCGTGAGGTGGTGCTCACTTGGGGTTGGGCAGAAGGGGTTGGCCAGGCACCAGACTTACAAAGAGGAGGAAGAGAGCGGTCTAGCCTATATTTGCCAAAGGAGGGATCAGTAAAGTACTTGGCCAAAGTCACACAAGAAAATTGGTTAAGACTGACCCACTAGTAATGGTCCTCCAAGCCAGTGTCACAGTGACCAGTCTCCCAAGCCCTCAGCTTGGGAGCATTCACAGGCACCTTTGAGGCCTGTAGCTGATGACTGTGCCAGCTTTGTCACCTCCCTCATCATATGTTAGCCCTGCCTGAGGCCCTTAGCAAATATTGTCCCTGGTGGTGAGGCCACAGGCAGGGCAGGTGCCCCTCCCAGCTCACCTGTGCCTTATCTCCACTCTGGAATCTCCCAGCAGGACCCCTACACCCTCTGAGGCCCAGGAAAGGCAGAGTTGCTCCAGGTCTTCCAGAACTGGCAGCTCTCAGCCCTACTGGGGCCGTGGAGGGTCCCACGGAGTCATCAGTGGAGTGGGCTTGGTGCAAGCAGCAAAACTACCCTTTAACGCCCGGTTGCCTGGG